GTGTAGAACGCTCGTGCTAACTACGTGGGAGATGGAATTCCGGAGGAGAGAACAATCATAATGGAAATATGCAGATATTCATTTTATAAAAGTTGTTCAGTATATTTTCCATCCTGCTGCTTGCATAGTAAAATACGGCGAAGATGGTTTTCTTCCACCTTCAGAATTGTGGCGGTTGGACTACTTTCGTACTGCGTGACGATACTCTGTGTTAGCTCCTCGATGGTTCTCAGGTTTTCGGGAATAAACGGTTCGCTTTAGATATGCCCCAGAAAGAAATCCAATGGTGACAGATCAGGTGATCTTGGAGGCCATTCCTTTTGTCCTCTCTGGACAATCCATGTGCAGTTACATTGCGAATCCAGGAAACTTCTCACCACCAGAGCATTGTGTGGCAGTGCACCATCATGTTGGAACCAAACTGTGGTACCAATTTCAGTTTCTATATGACAGTTGGCAGGCACCGCATTACCTTGTAACATTTGCAGGTATGAGGCGTCTTAAACAATGTAATAAGCAAAATTATTCTTACCTGTTACGCTTCCGTTGAAAAAGTACGGCCGATAACCTTGTAGTGCATAATACTAGCCCATACTAACACCTTGGGACTATGAAGCGATTCTGAGCCAACAAAGTGTCTTGGGTTTTCAACATTCCAACGAATGGAGTTTGTCACTTACGGGTGAACCTTCTGGATTGATGTCAATACGCGGCTGACGCATGCAACGAGGGGGAAGAAGCCTGTCATGGAGCGGAGGTACTCGTGACAGCAATACGTTGCAAAACCCCAGTGAGACACATCACGGATTTGTACTTGGAAGTCATTCAACTGGAAGACTTATGATTTATGGTTCAGCTGCAGCAAGGGACGTGATTNTTCTCCAGGTAACCCCAGTGAAAGGTCACGAATGGATTACAGGTGATAACAAGAGCATCACAAATATTACGAGCCAGTAATCAGATAGTCTCGGGTTAGGTTAAGTTGTCGATTTGCGCGAATCGCGGAAAATGATCCAATCAGATCACAGAGAGGGTCAGAGGAAAATTAACTGTTTGGGGTCACGGATGAGAGGGACAAGACGATGTGAAACGATGAAGTAATCGCACTGTACCTGACCTTGTGACATTCGCACATCAGTTTTGGGTGACTAGGATCCAAATCATAATCAATTACATGTTGGATTATTACGTACGAACTCTGATAGTCAGAGGTTTCTTTGATTCGGATCGTCCGACTAAGGATTCATGTTTACTAGCATATTTAGACTTTTTTTACCTTGTGCAATAAATACTATCACCCAGTCAGTAAAGTGACTTTTAGCATTAACTCAACATGCGATCGGCTAACCTAAGTATAGATCAGTGGATATGAGCAGTATTCGTCATTAAGAAAACATAAGAATCGACAGTATAAATGCCTTCTGTTCTACCTGCCCTCCAAATCATTATTCATCATATTGCCAGGATCTTATGGCTCCCTAAGGAATAATCTTAGACTTAATGTTTGGAAGATCAACTTACACCGATGGTACAGAGACGAGAGGCTACCAGTTCTGCCACTTTGGCCGCACTGTCTGACGGGAGGAATTTCACTGCCAAATTGGCAGCATGTAGCCAGGCATGCTGACAAACGTCCGACGTAAGAGATCCGCGATCCGTGACATCTGCATTTACAGAATCCGGATGCACTTTCAGGTAGTACTCGACAGCACGTAAATATTCCCCATGGGATTCCAGCTCGCGAGCCTGAAGTAAAAAAGCATTTGTGCTAGCTCCTGACTCTCCGGATGGCGATTCGGTGGTTCCAGTCAGTTTCCGGTTACCAGAAGCAGGTGTACCTGAACCCAATATTTTACTACCTCGAAATCCGTCCGATTCCTCGGCACGTAGTCGTTCTTCTTTAAATTCCTCCTGAAAGACGGATTACCGGTGAAGATAGAAAGATGCGAATCCTGACAAGTAGATTAAGTGCACGAAATATTATTTCTGGTCAATCGACAAACGTTGAAACATGATAATCTGATAACGCAACCCAATAGTTTATTTAAAGCAACTTGGTTCTGATTTTCGATAAAGTTAAAACCAATTTGACAGGAATAAAATGACAGTATATAATGAAAAGCGACAAATTATGAAGTCTGAGATCTAAAGAAAATGAAAAGAATCACTAGAAACTCCCCATTTTACGGCGAATTTGAGTGGATTTAAATCACAAGGGCTGGTTCGGTCACAGATCTCGATACTCAAGGTGTCTCGATTAGCTGGCATTAGCTAGAATTACGCCACCAAATTTTACAACTACTTTAGTGCATTCTAGAGGAGGACAATCAGTTTCCAGTAGGGTGATTAAACTTACTGGAGTTATTCAATACACCTTCGACAACAGTTGCATTTACGCAGCTGCGTGCATGAGTGTTGAACTGGTGCGGTCATGCGCTCGGATGAGGACTTGCGTGGCACAAACAGGTTTGAATAAGAGAACTTGACAAATGTCCTTTTTTAATATTCTTTAATATTACTAGATCCAGGGAAGTCAATAAGAACAAAAAACAACAACAGCGCCAAAGCTCTGATAAAATACCAAAAGAAACAAAAGATTTACAAATGAATAAAAACCCGAATATGATGGTTCTTTACAATTATCAAGCCACTGGATTTTTTCTCAGACAACTCATCAACTACGGCATTAAAATCAGTTTCAGAATAATTAATCGACCAAGCAGTTTTCGATTGTAGACGGTTTCACAAGTGAGATGAAGTAAACCGTTTCATAATTCTGAGATTGGACGTCACCTAAGTAGGAAATGCGGTCTTTGTAAAAAAAATCCAATCAACTAGTTGTAAAGGTCGGGTTACATGATGCAAGTAACTAGCAGTCTTTCGCTACACCATACTGGACCCGCAGATCTTACTTTGAACTGAGGAGTTTAGGTACAAAGAATGTTCTGTAGTGATCGGGAACAGTAGAAGCTTTTCTTTCCAACTATGTCTCTAAAGTTGTTTTCAGTTTATTTCGTTGAAGTACTGATAGATATGACTTAAAAATGACCACAGTATTGTCAACTATTCACGATTTATGCAATGTGTGGCGGTGGATGATATACTGTTGTTGATAACCCTCTTAGTTACTCCGATTTTCTTCAAATGGTGTTTTAATCTTAAGTCTGTCAGCGAACTTGATCTGACTGTGTCTTACTTGATAATAATAATAGTGACGATCAGTAAAGTGCATCGAAGAAAAACTACAGATATTCCTCTTACATTTTCCGATGCACAGACATGATACGCAGCGTCTAAATCGTGATTCCAAGAAGGTGTAATTTATGGAACCCTTGAAAAAATGCATTTCGTATCAGCTAAATGGTCATCACAATTGGTTTTTCTCATTAAGTAGCTTTTCCAACTGCATTCCTAACTGTGATCAGTAAAACTAACGTCGTGGTAAAATGCGATGAAGCAACAAGGAACCTGGGGATCACCATACAAAATATACGGAAAGCATAATTTATCAGATTAACAAGCGCAGGTAGTCCCNCCCCCCCCCCCCAATGAATAATTTTTCTGTGTAAATACCAGGAGAGGGAGGCATCTGTTAATTAGCTGATATCAAAATTCCTTCTCGGATTCTAGCACAGACCTGTAATTCTTGCACACGATTGGGTAGGTAAGCCTCGGCCACACGTAAAGCTTCCTCCCACATTCCAGCTTCTCGATAGGCGCGTACAGCCATGTCCGGTCTTTGAGCCCGTAAAAGCAATGCTTCTGCCCGAGCGAACTCCTTGTCCCCAAAAGCAAGACGTGCCTGACCGAGGAGCACATCGTTCACACTGTCCGGATCGTGATCGGCGGCCACTCGAGCTGCAGAATCCCAGTCCTGATTGTGAACATACATGAGCACAGCCTCACGGGGTTTTCCGGCCTTAATTGGATAAGACAAGACATATCGGATAGAGTAGAGTTACGATACGAATCAAGGATGTGCACATTTTGTACCAACTATTACATGAGGTTTTGTTATGAAGAACTTTTACTTTATTAATAGATAAATGAGCTTTGATGTTTTTGAAAGTTTAACGACAACAGTTATTATTTCTCTTGTTGATACATGAACCGAAACCCCTTTTAATAGGCTTCGAAAGTCATCTGGTGGCGTAACGCTTTCGATAGGGGTTCACAAGCCAGCGAGGGTGGAGGAGGAGCTAAATCG